GCCAGGCTCAGGAAGATGAGCGTGTTCTGAGCCCCCAGGAGGAGTGTGGGAAGTTCAAGAGGATGAGGCTGGCACCTCCCTGAGGAATTCACGGTGTTGGGGCTGGCTGGCTTGGGAACTTGGGTTCAGCCTGGTGAGATTCTGTCTTGAGGTGGAAGCTAATAAACACAACAGAACTGTATTTGCATTGTCTCTTGGAGCTCTTTGGGCTGAACCTGACATCAATCTCTCCAGACTGAATCTGACTTCCCAAGCCAGCCAGCCACAACACCCTGAATTCCTCAGGGAGGTGCCAGCCTCATCTTCTTGAACTTCCCACACTCCTGTTGGGGGCTAAGAACACGTTTATCTCCCTGAGCCTGGCCTTCATAAGTCCATTCCCTCACATCCGCACAGAAAAGGCTGCTGAGAGACATTTGCCTGTCCCTTGCAGACTGTTTTCTGAAACTGGGCCAGCTGAATTTCGCTATGGCAGATTACGAACAGGCGTTAGAGCTGCGTCCTTTGGACCACAAACTGCGACAGCGCATCGCTTGGTTATACGACGAGGCTGGATTGCAAGACTTCCGACACAAGTATGCTGGGATCCGTCTGGGAGATTTGGCGTGATATTTCCTGGGGGCCCGGGGATAGCCGTCGTGGATCGATCCCCTGGAGAGCTGATCCCCGCCTCCAAAGCCCCCAGTTTTTCTCCTCTTAGTCGTTTTTGCAACAATCCTGTAAAATGGACAACAGGGATTGAGATTCCTCTGTTCCTGACATGTGGGTTTGTTTTTTTAATTTTTGTTTTCCCAGGCAGTACCTGCAGGCTGAATCGAATTTCTCTTCTGCCGTGGAGAACAATCCTCGGGAAATAAAGTATTACCTGCACCGGGCGAAGAGTCGCATGTTTCTGCAGGAGGTCTTGGGGGCCAAAGAAGACATTATCTGCGCCTTGCTGCTGGATCCCACCAGGGACGAGGTGGGTATCGTAACGATTTGACTCTGACCCCAGGACGGAGAGCCTGCGACTGGGGGGCTGAATGTGACTCGGCCGCAATGTTTGTCACAGCCACACCTGGTTGGAATCCTTCTCTCCGTGAGTGGAGAGAACTGGAGTGATTGTACGTTCCAGGTCGCTCTGCACCTTGTCGTCCCCAGAGAAAAGACCCCCCCCACCCCATTGTTCTTCAGAGAGGAAGAGCAGCCCTCTCTGGCGATACTCTTCCTTCAAGAGATCTCCTGCCAGGGGAGAGAGATCATCCTGCAACGAGGGGTCATGCAGGAATGAAATCTCACCATTAACAGTGCCTCTTTCCAAGGAACTCTGCAGATACAGGATACAGTCAAAGAGAGGCCAGGCAGACAGAGATAAGAAAGTGCTCGGGCTTGGTTTAAATCATGCATACATGAAGCCATGGTTTGCTTTTTAACGACGTGGCTCTTTTAGGAAACTGTATGGAAGGCTGGAAATAGTTGAACATGCTCTTCCCTCTATGCCACCGTTTTTCAGTCTCAACAACTTTAAGATGTGTGGATTTCCACTCCCAGAATTCTGGGAATTGGTCCACCCATCTTCAAGCATGCTGGCTGGGGAATTCTGGGTGTTGAAGTCCCACCTCTTAAAGTTGCGGAGATTGAGAAACACGGCTTGTACCCTGCCCAAAAAGAAAACTAATGCAGGGACGCCTTCACAGACGCCAATGGAAGCTCTTTCATTTTGAGTGCAGCTTTTTAATTTTAAAAAGGTTAACTGCTTTTAATTATTTATTTCTTCTCTTTCAGGCCCAGACACTAACATGCAACCTGTTTCCGGGGGAGAGCATCGACTCACTCCTCAACAGCAAAGCTGGAGATTTCGCCAAGAGCCTTCTGGACCAAAAGCTCAAAGCTTTCCCTGCCTACGAGGCCTTGCAGAGGTGGGGAAATCTCCAGTGAAGTTTATTTTCAGTGGGCCCAGCCAGGTTTGGAGGGTGTAAATCAATAAAGCAGGGTCTACCGGGGACATCCGGGGAATTTTCCGTCAGCCAAGCAGGATTTTCATATGGGGGCGGAAGGTGGGGGTTGAACTCTTTCCTCCCTGTCTGCCTTAAGGCCCCTAAACTCTGCAAGCCCCCGCCCAAGAGCAGATGGGAGTTGTAGTCTGCAGAGCTGGGAGGGTCCCCAAAGCAGCCACGTTGCTTTCTCTGCTCTTCCACCCTCCTGCAGGCCTCTGAAACCGGCAGGATCCGAATCACCGAGCGACGTGTACGTTCAGATTGAAGACCTACCGAAGGCAGAGGCGAAGGCAGAGGCGGCAACAGCAAAGGAGGAGGAAGAGGTTTCCGAAGAAAAGAAGCTGCAGAGGAGACTCGCTGACTGTCAGCAGAAGTCGAACCAGGTATGTTTGCCCCTCGGAAGAAAAACCAGGTATTTTTCAGAGTGACCTGAGAACCATTAATGGGTTGTGGAGGGTCACAGATTTAGCCCCGTGCCCCCTTCTTCTGGGTCATAGGAAAACAGCCCTGGGTCAGAAAAGGAGCGCTGACGACATGGCGCCAAAATCTAAAGCATCAGGTTTACTATTTTATCCAGCTCTTGCAGCTGAAAACCCCGCAGAAGGAACTTCCCCCCTTAAAAAAGTTTCTGTCACTGTGGCAAACAATTTAGTATATCTGGATACGGTTTAATCCAAATATTGCCTGACCCACTGCTTCATTTTTTTTTTAATATCATTTTCTTTTTGCAATGGCTCCGCCGTTGCCGTGTTTTGCCAAGGCTGGCTGTAATTCTAGGGCCAGGAGGAGTGAGAAGTAGTTCCTCGTGTCCCTCAGGGTGGCAAATGGGGTTCAGCTTTGCCTAGAGGTCCCCCCTCCCCGCCCAGTTTGTCCCAGCGCACCAGTTTGAAAGCTGAGGCTCACAGGAGCCACATCACCACCGCTTCACCCGGGCAGAGCTTCAGATGCTGAAGCTGATGCTACTGACCCAGACGCTTAGGTTCCCCCCATGGCGTGGAAGGTGGGTGGAGCCGTGGAGAATAGTCCGGTGTGTCTTGCAGGCAGACCAAGAGCTGAAGGAAGCCCTCAAAAAGAAGCCGACGCTGGTGTCCAACACCGCCCGGGTGGACCCGTGCCCTTGCCTGCCCCCCAAGGAATGCCCCAACGAGCCGTACTGCTGGAGAAAGTTCCGTGAAGGCATCGGTCATTTTTAGGCCTGTCCGAAGCATCACCGCGGGACGGAAGGCTGTCCGCTTTTCTCCCAGACACGTTCTGCTTTTCTAGTGAGTAAAAAAAATAGGATTCATCCTGCCAAACAGCTTGTCGTCCCTTCTCGCACAGCATGCATCTCGGACTGTTTAAAATAACCCAAGATCTGGGGTTGTTTTGCCAGATTTCGCTTGGCTGAAGACGTTGCTTCTTTAACGTGGAAGGCTCCAAAACTTTGGAAACGGTGGGATGATGCCATCCCCCCCTTGGGGGCTCTGGGTGACTTGGGGCAGGCCCACAGGGTAAAAGGTTCTGAGTGGGGCCGTCGGAACTAGCCCCAGGACAAACCTTTTCCCCGGTCGCTTCTTGCATTTGCTAAGACCCTCAAAGAACGGGCAGAAATCTCCAAGCGGAAACTTACTACTTGGAGTCTTCATAAAGTTTTGGGTTTCCTGCTTTTTATTTAAATAAAGCAACCTTTCGAAGACGTTAGGGTATGTCCAGGTTTTTCACGTTTATTTTGTGTTAAATTCAGCATTAAGAAGGGCCTATTGGTGTTTTCCTGCATGCAGCAGAAAGACTATTCCCTCCCGTCTTCCCTAGAGATGGACCCAAATGTTTCTGCGCCGAGGATCTGAGTCTGGCTGGTATGTCTTGCAATGGCCTATTTTCGTTCAACCACCATACACTTCCACGATCACAACATCACTCCTGGACTTAGACACTTCCTTGCCTATTTAAACCGACAGCACAGACACAGATGCTCTTTGGCTAGTGGTTTCTTCAGACTTCTAATTTCACATTGTCGACTAAAAAATCTTTTAAGGGTAGCTGCATCTTAGCAAAACCCACGTCTGGGTTCATCAGGTTCTGGTTTACACAACAGGGTATTCCCTGCAAACCAACCCACCCTGAATTAGAATTGCAACATTGGATACAAAAATCACAGTGTGCCTGAAGATAATGTTTGAGGTAGGATTTTAAGAATCCGTAGAAAATTAATTCCTTCGACGGCACTTAAAGTCAGGAATCTGTAAAACGTCCGAGAAGCTGTTTTAAAAGCAGCGTAGATTCCCTCTCGATACATCACAGCATCTTCTCTTTTGAATTAACCCATTTGATCGAGTCAGCCTAGTTCTTTGCTCTCTGGAAAGGCTGTTCCTTGGTCCTTTGGGTGCAGATTTCAGAACCCACAAACTCTCCTCGTTTGAAAGAAAGCCGTCAGCCGTCTTCCAGAAAGAAAACGCCTCTAGAAGAGGTCATAGGAAGAATGGGATGCGGGAAGCCACAGTTTTGCATCCGGTCGACGAGAAGATTTTCTCCTCTTTGGGGAAGTAGGAAAAGCTGTCTGCAACGCCATCGACGACCTCCGGGCGAGGGAGGAGACCCTGGCTGGCCATTTCGTTGACCACGCACTGCTTCACGTGGTGCCGTTTGAGGGGAAGGAAGGGCACGAAGATGTCGATCAAGTGTTGCTCAATGATTCCAGATTTCCAGAATCCACCTGCAAGAGAGAAGAAATACAAGGGTGAACGGTACAGAACAGGCATGCCCCCTGCCCCACCCCAGTTTCTCTTGCCCACCCATGATGTTTGCTTCAGGGTCATTCGATTAATCTTGGCGTGGCCATTAAAGCATGCCCAAGGCCAGCTTTGCCAAATTGCGAAGAGGGCACCAAGTTGCGGAATACAGCAAGACATATTCAGCGTGGACCAGTGTTCTGAATTCTCTCCGTGGCCTTTTCGTAGGGAGGTTTTAAGACCCCAAGCAACCCACCACAGCAGGAAGTTTTAATCATTTTTTTCCTCCCCTCCCTCCGACGATACTCACTTTGGGGGTTTTTAGAGACCGCTTCCAAAATCGCTGGTTCCAGGTCCTGCAGACCGACCTCCTCCCGGTCTCTGCGGGCTCGCCAGAGGTCCAGAGCGATACGGTTAATCTGTTCTGCGCCCGTATTGCTAGCGCGCAAGACGTCAGAGGGAAGAAGCTGAAGCCTTGCGGACGACCCACCTGCGCCCCCCCACCCTAACCCATTTCGTTACCTGATAAACACGAAGATGGCTTTTCTGTAGTTGGTTCCGAACACCACCCAGGAAGATCCCAGGAACGGCAGGATCACGTCAATCAAGCCCGGGTGCAGGTCATCCATCTCGTCAAAGAGAAAAAGAGACCGGCTGCACCGGGTCAGATTCCCCTGGATCCAGCTTCTGAGATCGTCCTACATGGGAAAAAAACATATCCATGTAGGGCGCAGGACTGCAAGCGAAACAGCGCTCACAAACGGCCAATCAGGATGAGCCAAGCGGGGGACTCCGGGTCCCATCCTCTACAACCGGGGGTAAAGAATCAGGGAACGTCCAACTATATCTTGAAGGCCATTCCAGATCTCTTTCGGATAGAGGAATGTTGGAAATCCGGTGCTTTCGAGGGATCAGAGGGCCCTCCGGCAGACGGTTGGCCAGAGCACCGCCTCGCCAGGCTGGCGTGCCCACTCTGGAGAGGATTGCAAAGGCGGGAAGGGAAGGGAAGGGAAGGGAAGGGAAGGGAAGGGAAGGGAAGGGAAGGGAAGGGAAGAGACGAGTCAGGGAGGAGGAGGGGGAGGAAAGAAGGAAGGAAGG